AGCTTAGAATTTGATTGCCTCTATTTAAAAGGACAGAAACAAGCTGTTAGTTTCAGACTGAAACCCACAGTGTTGGGAACATCAATACTTGGACCTAACTTTCCTTAATAAAACCAAAACTTTAAAGCCTTCTCCATGTATTTTGGAAGTGGAAAAATTTTACATTTATTAGCACCCAACAACATATTCACTGTCTGCTATGATATTATTAAAATGAACTGAGTGTCTAGGTCACAGAAAAGTCTTCCTTAAACTCAATTTGTCTGTCAGTCCTTCAGGACTATTACTAAAGAAATGAGAAATAAATTAATAGTAAGCTCTTGTGTCAGTAGGACATTTAAACTATTAAAATTTAGTGCAAATGCCTGAATTTTTACTGCTAAAGAAACGTTTAATATTTTAAAACTGAGAAGGCAGCAAGGAAATTTATATCAATGCACATTAGCTTAAAAATGTTTGTGCCACTGGTGTACTACCCCATCATCCTCCGCACAAATGCCTTTGTAAATTTTCATTTTCACTTCTCTGTGCTGAATTACTCATGGGAAAAAACCAAACCCAAACAAATACACCATCATTCTCATCCCATAACTAGTAGCTCTGGATTTTAATTAACTGATAAAAACTATTTGGCTAAAAGTAATATCATGTGACTAACATGACCAACAGCAACACAATGCAGCCTGAGATGGACCATGGATTATGCTGTTTTAAGTAGTAAATTTGCTTTTGTATGCCACCCATTTCTCACCTCTGTAAACATCACACTTGTTGAGACTCTAAATGGAAGACTTACAGATCAGCAGATTTTTTTTTTTTTAATTTAAAGAGTAATTTCTACTATGTCTGTGGTAGTGGATTGCATGGTCTGTAAAACCAGTCAAATTATTTATCAATGCAACAGAAATGAAGGGAAGGATTTTCTGACAGGTTTGAGGCAAGTTTGCAGCACTGCTGGGATGTGGAAGCCTCATCCATGCCTGTTCAGCCCCCAGCTGCAGTACCCATGTCTGTGCACTCTGTTTTCTGCTGTACACTTGAATCCATTTGTTCTTTGGAGCAGCATCCTGCAGGGCCTAAGAGGAAAGTTTTTTATGGCTTAAACTCTAGTAAAAACCTCCTGCTCTTGAATACTTCACCTTTGCCCCTTGTATTGCATTCCATCACTTATTTGAAAGCTCATGACTTAGTGGTGAACTGAAGGAACTGTTGTTGATGCTGATGCTGGAGAGATTTTTGACTGGGGTCATTGATGCTGCAGAATGTGATTTATATGCAGATAATAACATCACTATGAAGTGATCATAGTAGATGATGTGTAACTGCTGAACAGGACACTTCAGCATGATGCAGTCACTACCATGCTCTCAGCTGGTTTGAATTCAGGTTATATATGGGATACTCCACAGCTGCTTTTAGTGTCTCACCATGGAACCACTGTCCAAAACCCTGCCTCTTCCTGTTGGGGTGTAATACTGGTAAAATAAAGATTTTTTTTTTTTTAACCAAGAAATAGGATTGCAGAGTTAAAACACAAAGCTTAGCCAAGTTATTTGGTGACCAACTGATTTTGCTCAGATGGTAAAGTAGCAGATCAGTTGCAGAAGACAGCCTTCTTTAGACTGCCTTCTTCTGCTGACCTTCACATGATGTGACAGCATAAAATTAAAGAATCTTCTCATGACTACAAGCCTTAGTGTATCTCCTCTTTAATTCATATTTTTCCAAGGAATAGTCTGCATCTGAAGAATTAAAAAAAATATGTAATTGGAGCAGAGGGCTGTACTTTGTGAAATATGTTATGACTGAATAAATGTCTCTATGCCATTCAAAAATGAATGTTCTTATGTGTCCAGACAAAATACTGGCCATCTATGATGTGTAAGCAACTACTTTGGACAAGTCACAAACAGATATAAAAGAAATGCAAGGATCACTGAGAAATTGTGAACTAGAAGTGGCAGTGACACACTGCAAGTCAGTGCTTGGAGCAGGGTCTAATTCATATTTCTACAGGGATTGTCCATTAATGCCAGAACACAGTAGAATAGAGCCTCGCTGCAGATTCCCCCCAGACAGTGCTGGAACTTTATTGTTGAGCTGCAGTGACACACTCCCAACTTCCAAACTGTCTCCAGGTGGAGCAATTGAAAACTCAGTACAGGCTGCCCCTTCTCAGCAGGACCTTCTCTTCCAGTCACATCTTTCCTGTCACAACAGTCCCAATGATAAGGAATGTTGGGGATTTTCACAAATGGAACAGGACCGATGGGTGATGCGTCACGAGCTTTTATTTCGAACACCTGTCTCTGTTACAGACTCAGGAGATGGTACAAGCTCACATCTCCATGAGCAGCTGGAGATCTCTTTGTTACAGAACATTTTATAAGTTTTTCAGCCAACAGCATAATGCTCAAGCTTACAGACAATTGTTATAGTCAATCACTAAAAACACATGTGCACCTTCTTTAAACAATGTTTACTCTCTAGTAACGATACACAATACTCTGTTATTAAGCTTAAAACCTTCTGCTGTTTTGGTAAACACATTTTTCTGCAGTCTTAAGGTCTGTCCTTAGCCAAGCTTAAAAACTCAACTATTGTTTCATGTCCTTGCATATTGTTTTATTGTATCTTCCTTACTCTGAGGCCTTGCAGCTGCAGCTAGCTCTAACTTCTCTGCTTTTTCTTTTCTGAGGCCCATTTTCACAGCTTCTGAAAGTCTTCTTACCTTTACTCTTTCCCACAGGGAAGGTGTGTGCTAACATCTTTAAAAAACTTTCATAGGTGAAGGTATGGGTGTTGACATCTTTGAAATGAGTCTTAATGTCTGTACTAACTTCAACCTGCAGTTTGTTACAGAGCCTAGACAGCTCAGCTCCTGGAGCAGACAATGAGTCTGCACAAGCCTGGATTTCTGAAGCTTGGGATAAAATGCCAGGTTCAAGGGGAATATGTGGTAGGTGGTTCAGGAAGGCTGATGGGGAATGTGTGGCCAGGAGCTGAGCAGGAAAGGAGGCTGCACCTTCCAAAACCTCGAGAGATAAAACCCCACAGGCGAGTGCCCCAGTGGACTCTCTCACTTTATTCAAATAAAGTTCAAGGACTCCTCTGTCTCCTTTTTGGACATAAACCTCTGGTGTTGGGAACAGTTTTCTGTACACAATGTTTGAGATACAAACATGCCTGGTCCTCCACCAGAGTCCCAGCTGTATCCTACCAGACACGTTAAGGGTCATATTAATACAAAAGAAATAAAAAATTATTAAACTACCCATCAGATCAGGTTAAATTATCAAATATCCAGGGAAATAGATCAGCTATCAGGGCTAAGTATCAGGGGATCAGAAACACAAATATTTCTCACAACTCCGGGAATTTTTCTGTGAATTCCCTGAAAGGTGAAAGAGTAGAAAATTTTCAAATCAAATAATGCTCATGGATCAGGGCTGGAAGTTTAGAGACAGTTTGGGCATTAAACACTTCTAAAACCCCAGAAAAATGGACTGAGTATGTAGCATTTGAGTACTTGATGTACTGGCTTTCTTAGAGTCTGAAGATACCATGAATACTGAAAAGAGTTTTAGAGAAAATGTCACGGTGGGAAAAATGTCCAGAAGAGAGTTATATAAATACTTTGCTGGATTTTATTAGGCAGGGACACATAAATTAAGTAAGGAGAGAAGGAAGCCAGAAAGACACAACTTTAGTGCTGCTGTGAGCAGAAACCTGTCTCTCAGAAATGTGTTGCAGGATATACACCAGTTCAGTAACACTGGGTTTGACTAACTGAACCCAACCAAATTACAATTAGGGGAGAAAACAAGTGTTTCATATAGAGATTAAATAAGAATTACTGCTGAAGCTGC